AAGTCGTCTTGAAATTCTATCTTTTTGTTTAAATAAATTAATATAATAAGAAGATTTAACATAATCACTTGAACATATCCCATGATATTCTGGTATTATAGATAAGAATTTTGAATAACGAATAGCAGCAGTTGAACAAGGACAAGATAAAGTTGAAATATTTTTCAAATAAAGATTATTAACAATATTAGATGTTGGAAATTTAATTATTACAGTTTTTGTTTCATCATTAAATGGTCCCGCATAAAGAAGAGCAACGAGAAGACTTAATAAGAATAAAAATATATAAATACGAGTCGCAATTATTTCATTGCGTTTCATTTCTTTTACTGTTGAAGATGATTTAGTAGAAAATAAATTTAACAATCGTAAAAATCGATAGATCTTCCAAAATAAACAAGAATTTTTTGTTTTAACATTAGGCAAAACAAGATTATCTAAAATAAATTAATTTCTATAATAAAAGATTCTCATCATATATTTACCTGTTGTTGTTTGTGAAGAATCTACATTATGTTGTCGTTTTTTCCATTGTTTTCTAATAAATCTAACCAAATGAGGTAATATTATTTCTAAAATAACACTTAATCCACTATAAAAACCAAGCATAATAGTAATCATATATGTCATATGAAATCGTCTTATTACACTATAAGTACATTGTTTTGGTGCACATCTTCTATAATAAGCTGAAAAATTCTTTGATGTTCTCCAATCTTCTACAAAGAGTTGTGAAACAATTGATTCTATAGTAGTATTAGGTGTAAAACGAGTATTAGTTTTTTCAAGTGATTGAATATGAGCAGTACGATTATTCAATGGATGAAATAAGCCAACAGCGTCAAAATAATACATATCAATTAAAAGTTGAATACATTTTTGTTGATATAAACATTGAAGATTCGAAAAAAGAAGAGAATCAATTGTATAACAACCAAGAACTAATCCTGGTATAATTATTTTTGGATTAGAATCTCGATCATCAGATTGTAAATAAAATCCTTGAGAACGAATACATTGCGAAGAATAAGCACAAGAACAAGAACTATTATCAATATTTCTGTAATAAAATATTGGTGACCATTTTGATGTTTTATTATTAAAATTAGGTGAAAATCCAGCATCATTTAATAAATCAGTAATTAAACGATTTGTTTGAATTGATGAACGAATTAATTGAATAAGATTAACAAATGATGCGATTGTTTGTTGTTGAAATAATTTTAAACGTATTTTTGTTTCATCATGAAATTGTATTTTGGAAAATGTATTAAGTGTAACTAATCGACGTGATCGAAATAAACGAATTGCATTATTAACTGTTTCTTTTGATAATTTACATAAATCTCTTAAAAGACTAAAAAATGATTGACCACTAATACGAAAATCAACACCAGTAAATAATGTTGTACTTGAATTAATTTCTTTTAAATCAAAATATGATAACCAAGTTTTTTCAAGAAATTCACTTGAACATATTTGATGATATCGAGGAGATATGGACATTATTCGATTATAAGACATTGAAAAACGTGAACATGAACAAATTAATGTTGATGAATAAAGTGATTGTAATTGATTAAATTCTATTAATGTTGGATAATCAATAGTATATGTTTGTGTACGTTTCATTAAAGAAGTATAAAAACTAAGAATAATAAAACCAATCAATAAAAATAATATATAAAAACGAGTTGAAATTATTCCAACATATTGTTCTTCGAAATCATTTTCATCATCAGAACAAAATAAATTAAATGTATAAATTGTACGATGAACATGAGAAGTAACTACGAAGAAAAATTCATTTTTAATAAATATTTTTTATATATTATTTAAACAAACCTTTATTGATTGGTTTAGGTGATATTTTTAAAATGATTTGTTCAATTCCTAATTGTTGTTCTTGAGGAATAGATATTTGTTTTTCTTGTTTTTTCCCTTTAATTAAATGCCAGATTTTCACAATAGCTGGTGTAATTAATTGCCAAACAATAACTAAACCACCAAAAGCACTAACACATATAGTAAATATAGTAGCAAAACGTAATCGACCTGAATAACTATAAGTAAGTGATCGAGGTGAACAAGCAGTAAAATATTGTTCATAACTAATAGTATTTTTCCATGATTCAATAAATAAAAATTTATCAAATATGGAACCAATTGTTAAATTTAATGGAAATTTTGATAAAGAAATTTTTAAAGGTTTTGGTCGAGAAATATTTGATTGAATTGATAATATATTTATACAAGATTGTTTATAAAGACATTCAAGTGTTGATTGTCGAATAGATTCAAGTGGTAAACATCCGGCCATTAAACCTGGAATCTAAAATTGAATCAAGAATATGAAAATAATCTTTTCTTTTTCTATTTACCTTGTAACGTGGTGGAGGATATGATTTAGCTGGTTTATCCAATTCAGGTAATGTCCAATTGTAAAAAGCTCCAGCTGGATAAGTACATTGATTTCCTTCTAAACGACAATCACATTCTCCTGAAAATGTTTCATTTTTTGTTAAATAAATTCCATTATGTACGACAGAAACACCAGAAAGAACTTCTGATTCAATATAAAAGTTAGTACGCAATGCTGACATTAATCGATTTTGTGCAATACTCATTAGTACTACTCGTACTGTTCGATTTTCATTTGCTACGAGATAATCTTGAAGATGATTGATTAGAACATTGGCTATTTCATTGAATTCTATACGTGAAAGAAGATAATTAGTAATTAAATGAGTAGAATTAAATGTTCGATATCCATCATATACAGCTTGATAGGCTGTATGACAAAGTAAAGCAAGAGATTGAAATTGTGCAAAAGTAAATGTACGAAAATCGAGAATATTATGTGAAGTTGCATTGAAAAGAAAAAGAGAAGATATCCATTTATCATCAACGAATGGACTTGAACAAATTTGATGGAATTTTGGTGATAATTGAATAAATTTATGATAAGGATTAGAAACATGAGTACATGGAACATTTATTGTAGTTGAATAACGAGTTTGAAGATATTCAAAATCAGAAAGAGAAAATTGCCGAAGAGTAATACTATGAGTTTGAACAATAAGACTTGCGTAAATAGTGACAATTAGAAGAGATACAGAAAGAAATAAAAGAAAAAGTCGAGTACTAAGAATTTTCTCTGAATAATTCAAAATTGATGACCAAAATGGATTATTAGAAAATAAATTTAAATCACGTATAATACCAACAAGATTTACACGAGCATCAACAAATAAATTTTTCAAAGATCTATCACTCATTTGTGAATTAATTATATTTAATGAATTTTGACACAACTCTTTTAACTAGAAAGAAAGGAAGAAAAAGAATAGTAGATTCTTTTTTTCTAGTTGAATACATACGTGAATGGTATTAATATAATCGAGATAAAATAAGACAATTTATTTCAGAATCCATAGAATAACATGCTTGTCTATGTAATGATCTAAAACGGTTCATTAATTTTTTTTCTTCTTATTTAAAAATGATGGAAGGTTACCATATGAACTCAAATGATAAAAAAAAATGAAAGAGTTCATTCCTGTCTTTATATTATTCTCTTCTAGAAGTTTTTTTTTTAATTCTCATTTATATCTTTTGTCCTGTAATTATCATGAAAGGATGGATCACGTATATGCGTATAAATATCCGGAAGTGTCGACTTCTTAGTCACGGCATGAATGAAAAGAAAAAAAATTAGTATTATTCTGTAAGAGTTAGAGAATCTTCTTAATTGAGTTATTTATCTATCTTTGCTAAAATATGAAAGAATAAATAATTATATAGTTGAGTAGTGAGTTATTAAACATAATGAGTAGTTATCATTATCGTACGTTTTTTTTCTATTATATCTATTTTTTGAAATTGGTCAATGTAATTATAAATTGAAATAAACTTGCACAGTATTAATTGATGATCGAAGAAAATCATATCATCAATCAAAAAGAAACTGTGGTTTTCTAAAATATTTTTACCGTTTATATTCTGTATGAATGTGTTATTTGTAATTTGAACTAACTCGTGGATGAAAAAATAAGCCATCTGTACCTAGAGTAACATATGGGAAAAAGTTAAAATATAGTTTTGTGAACAATTTATTTTCATTCCACTAGGAATAATCCCATATACTCTAATAAGGAGATCAATTGAAACACATAGTACAGTAAAATATGAGTTTCTATTGATTCGAGAATGACCACGTGATTGAGGTGAGATTGGTAGAAAATAAACAGCAAATGTTTCAAACAGCTATAGTCACGAGTCCCTTCAGAAACTTGTCTCGGTTTGTTAATTCGACAACGCATAAGTACAACACGAACGATTGAAAGCGGAGAAACTGACTTCGAAAATGTATTAATCTCATTATCGTACGAGTTTATGGCAAATATTAACAACTGGTTATTAATTCATAATTAATAATCTCAATCTGGTCTATTCAGATAATGAACGAACATACTCAAGTCATTTTTTATATGAATCTCGTTTCAGTAGAGGAAATCACCCAAAGAAGATAGAAACCAACAAAAACGAAAAGGTTTGATAAATGTATTCTTCTTTTATACTGTACTCTGGAAAACAATTGGAGAGTATGGATGCAGATAGAATTTAGATGTAGAATATGATATTATTTTATTCGTAGATTCAATTACACGCACCCTTTAAAACTTAACTGGATTTTAAAGTCAATTTCGATATACAAATTTAATGAAATAGAATATGTGAATGATAATATTTTATTAAGTATATATTAAGAATATGATTACAATTTTGAATAAGCTGCAAAGTACAATAACAAAAGCTATCTCACACAGTTCATGCGGGATTAAAGTATGGCACACAAACTATGTTGTGTTATGTTATTCATCGTTAACAACTGTCTTTCATAGCCGATTATAGTCTTTGTGTTTAATAAAAAAAGCAATGATTAAATAATTATTTTGATATTAATAACGACAAAAGCAGAATAAATTATTTGAAAGAAATTAACTTCGACGACACCGAGTATTTAACCATGATAGAATTGATTGTGGTGTAATTCGTTTAATAAATGAGATAAAAGCTGTGTAGTAAACTTCAGATGGGAGAACGTATGCAAAAAACACTGTCATCGATGGTAAAAAACCAATTAGGTAAGGAAATAAATTTGCCAATGGCCGACGATCAAGTTTCTTACAAACAAAGATGAATGCGAATACTAGACGAGGTAGAGAAAGTATGCCTAATAGAATTGGTCCTGTTAGTATATATTTATATTTCAATATTTGTTCTTTGATACCATCTAACGAACACATAAATCGGATACCCTTATTTTTCTTGTTCTTATTTAAAGCTACGACTGTTTGATTCTTCTTTTCCTTGGGTTTAACGTTAGGACATGCAGATGATTTTTGTTTTCGATAAATAGTTCCCAGAATAATGACAATAGGACAGATTAAATTGATCGTTAATGGAATTACGAATAATAAGATATTGGTAATTGAATATAATTTATGAAGTACTCGACGATCAGAATTTAAAGTAAAAACACACCAGCTCCGTCCATCATATTCGTCAATGATTATTTGTCGAAAAATATATTCTGGAGAAGAAACTAAACCAAGAAATATAATCAGACCAATTGCAATCCATTTCGCTCGACATCGACTTGCTGAAGTAGAAAATGAAGTTCCTTGAATAACAGTTAATGTTCGTTCGATGGCTACGTATGCATTTAACCATTCCGAGCTAATTGGCCACCATTTGAGTAGAAATTCTATTAATGCACAACTTACATTTCGTTGTTGAAAACTGATTAATGAGATTATTTTACACATAAGTACTATCATTGTCAATAATCCAAGACATGATGAAATCAACAAAGAAAGTCCACAACCAACATCACGAGTTGTTCTCTGAGAAAATGTTGCAATAGCAAAAATGTTAAGAATAATTCCAATAATGCTTAAAATACAGAAAATTATTAGACTGATTTGAATGATTTTTGTTTGTTGAAAAATATTGAATGTCGTACGTATATGTGAACCAAGAATAGCATCGAGTGAAATAGAATATCCATCTGTAGAAAACTGACATATAGGCCCATAGGTACACGGTTGACAAATACAAACAGAATTACTTGGACATACTGCATGATTTTGAACACAACGACCTCGATTGCTACATGTGTTCCATGGACAACCAAACGACTTGAAATTAAAATTAAAACAATTAACATGATTGGTTTGATCACATATACACATAAGTTCATCATCATAAAAACATTGAAGTTTCTTTCCAGATATTTGATTGACACATGGCTGTTGGTAATATTTGACACGACGCAATCGAGGCTGAGCAATCACTGTTGCATTAAATAATTCTTCAATCGATTGACAACGATCAGATTGATTAAATGTATGATTGGATTCTAACACAGACTTATCACGTATATCATTACTTACTACCAATAGATAATAATCGAATTGATCAAGATGTTCATAAAGTTGCACAAATATAAGATCGAGTGTTTCCGGAAGATGATACAAATATATTGTTAATTCAAATATATTCTCATGGAAATGATGAAAATGAATTTCCTGATGAGTGAACTCTTGGGTATAAATGGAGTGAACGAGTGCAATATTCGATGCTGGAATAAGAACATCTGATGAAAAGGATATATGAATACGTGGCATTGCTTTGTCGCATTGTTTTCCACCCCACTCAGTATCACATAAACATAGAAATTGTCTCTTCGGGTTTAGATAGCGTTCATCGATAGGTACGCATTCTCCATGTTCATTACAACTATCTGGAGTACATGGATTAAATGAAAACATACAACGACGACCCGTGTGATTTAGAGGACATATACAAATATCTCGACCAAGATTGACATCATATCCCAGATAGAGAGAATTATTTGAACAGAATGCAGATTTATCGGTAGATATTATAGTCAGAAATTGTGTCATTGCTATGGGAATATCGGTTATAAAAAGTTCTTTCGCTATTCGATTAACCGGTAGAAAATCCAGTGGTAAGAGAAATTGCCACGAAGCACGAAGTTCAAGATTTTGTGCAGTAAATGCATAAATATGTACTGAATGATTGTATGATGATGAATATGATTCATTGATCGGATATAATAAGTGAGTAATATGCATTTGTAAACAATCGTATTGTGGAGCATAAAGAAATTGTTCATGGGATAATATGATGATCGAATCATTCTTTTGACGTATTAAGAAAAGAACAATTTTGAATATTGGAATAATAGAATTAAAAGAACTTTTCATTCGTAATCGAATATGAATACTAATTCGTTTACGTTGATATTGACAATAATCACCATAGTAATGATCGGAACAAAAACAATAGAAATCAGATGGATTTCGAGCATAGCGAACCAGTAGTCCTCGATTACAAGGCTCACTTTTAAAATCATCTGACAACGATAAACTTCGTGAAACTTGTTTTTTTTCAATGTCAGAAGATTTTTCGACATAGTTTAATAAGAATGACATCCGAGGTAGACCATAATCGATCAAGTCACAGAAAAGTCTTTGTTCTTCATTTTTACAATTACCATCGGGATGTCTACAATGGCATAGATTAGCTGGACAATATAATTGTTGTCCATCACGACATCGAAAACGATCTTGTTGGCAAAAATGTCCTTCTTGATTGTTATTGAGCCAAACACATGCTGTTATTTCATCATCATTTTCTGGACAATCTTGATGACAATCACACACTTGAAATGGAGAAATACATTGATCTGAATTGCGACATCGATATCGACGCATTATATCGTTTGGATATGTGACACGACAAAACGTTCGTTCATCTAACGATCCTACACAGTCGATAATACCATCACCAGCTTTTGTCCGTGGGAGACACATAGGATAGCCATTTGTTATATTCAAACAAAAATGACTCGAATTATCACAATCATATTTTGGAGATGTGCCATATCCACAATTGAGTTCATCTCTCCCATCAGGACAATTCCAAACTCCATTACATCTCGAATAGGATGTAGAACAACGCCATTCATTCATCGAACAATCTGTTTCATCAGTGTTGTTGAAAGCATCAGCAACATATTCGACCACGCCATTACAAATTTTAGGAAATGTTATGTTGAAAAACAAAAGCAATTGTTGAGAAGCTATATTCTTTACTGGATCCAAACCATAGGTCTCCCAAAAATATCTTTCATATTCGTCACTTTTGTCAGCACAATGAATCTATAATAAATTGTAATATGTTATCACATTCCTCAAAATTTCTATAGCGATTACATCAGCATCCTTTTCTATCAACAACCTTGGATGGGTATGAGTATGGTATTATTCTACTCACACCCACACCCATCCATCTAAGATATCTCAAAGAAGATTGATCAAGAAATACTACAAATACTAAAGACTTACAGTATCATCAAGACGAAGAGTTGAATGTATACAACGTGTACCATTATCACAAGAATATCGATGAGAAATATTGAGTGAACATGTATTCTCCTGACGTTCATCTTCGCCATTGGAACAATCTTTATAACCATCCGATAGACGATGAAATGAGAAACATTTACTGTTGTCATTACATTTAAATAGTGAACAATTATTTGATAAATCTTTTTGAGCCGGTATTGAACACGAGAGAATAAAACTCTTGAAATCTTTGATTATATCATATAATTCCGAGTAAGTTCGATTTGTAAATGTATTAAATGCTCGACATATCGAGCCATTGAATGTAAATGTTTCAAATAGAAGATGTTTATTCAAAGATAGATATGGACATAATGTTTCATTATAACATATCCATTTTGGTTGAATGTTATCATAAATTAAGAATACATGTGAAAATAAGATGAATTTTGATGACGGCATTTGTTCCAAATAAAGACGATCACGTTTTGAATAACATGCTTCACCTGAATCAACATTTGGCCCATCATAGCAATAGCCATCACCACATGAAAACCACAGCGATGGGCATATTCGATCTTCGCAATTACTGAAGGATAAAGGAAAACAGTCTCTCTTATTTCTGTCAAGTCTTTCGTCAGATTCATCCATACAATCGAACTCGTTATCCAAAACAAATATTTTATCAATACATTGCCCATTGAGACAACGGTATTCCGTTTCTTGATTACATTCATTTATTTCCAGTTCATGACAACGATGTTCATCGATTCCATTCTTGCAATCCATTTTACCTATAATCATATCGATCGAAGTGCATTGTTTCCTCGTATGCAAATCCACAAATCTCTATTTTATTTTCATCAGAAGTAATCAAACAATAAGACGGGTGTGGGTGTGGGGTAGGTGTGGGTGTGGTTATAAGTGTAAGTGGGTGTGAATAGATCTGAATAAAACGACACCCAGATCCACATTCTCCTAGTCCTCATAGACCTCATAGATCCCTAGTCTCCATAGACTCCCTAGCACCTCTAGCTCCCCTAGACCTTCTAGTCCCCCTAGTTCCCGTAGTCCTCATAGATCCCCCCGACCTTCCAGTTCTCCTAGTCCTCGTAGATTCCGTAGCCCTCATAGATCCCCTAGTACATCTACCCTCCTAGACCTTCTGGTCCTCCTAGTCCTCATAGATCCCCTGTCGGATTGAAATTAAAACGTTCATTGTATGGGATGAATTTGAATGTGTATAGATACTCTACTCATTCACATCTTCGTTTTCAATAAGATCTTAGTTAAATGATAACTTACCGTCGCAGATTTCTCGCCAGTCCAAACAGAGAATGGATTCACATATTCCATCGTTCATTGGATAACATGTATTATGTGCTACTGGGAAAAGAAATTTGTCGTTGAGGATATCTGCCAAATCTTTTTCCGAACCGAATGTATACTGACACCATGGTCCGAACCAGTAGTTACCCTTCGTCTGTGAACAGTTGTAGAAAGAGCTTGTATTTTTACCTGATATATATTCTTCTATAGTATCCATTGGTGCATACCAGTCGTACAGTTGTTGAGCTGAAACACCCATTTCACGTAGGCTACTGAAGGTAAATTCTTCTCCATACACTACTTGATTATGAGGCGGTTTGATTAATTCACTGATTTTTGCGATTTTTCGACGACAGTAATGCATCATCTGAGCGCGCCCACTTGTGCCCCAATCATGATCTAGTTCAGTTGACGAACGGTACTCGATATGTAAGTTGTATAGACAATGAAAAGCATGAATAGTGGTATTCATTGTATCCCATGTCGTTTCGTACATTCGATGAAAAGCATTACTCGGATGATAAAGAAGTAAAATCGTAAGCAGTAAATGCGAGAATCGCATTGCTTTACTTGGAAAAATACTGAATATGTCTGTGTCGAGAAGAAGAAACAAAGTTTTATGAAGATATTTATCATAACGGAACTGATAAAAAACGGCAAAAAGTGTGCACACAGTCAAACACATAGATATTCATGATATTTAGATGGAAAAAAATTGAGACAGATGTGATTAAAATAGTGTTAGTGAGTGTATCATGCATGCTCGTTAAGTAATCCATTTTGATATAAATATCACAAACAGAATATTCTATAAACATCTGTCTAACTATTTCAAATAAACTCTTTTACTTCCCAAAAATGAATCGATATAAAATACATAAAAATTTAAAACAATTGAATCGTCGAAATTGTTAATATCTCAACAATAAGAGTTTTTGAAAGAAAAATTCACCGTGCCTATCAGCTAAATCAATTTTACTTCAGATTTTTGAATACAATTCGACCCATGTCGCTCTTTTTTTTATAAAACCACCGGTAACCGTCGGTTTTGCTAAGAACAGGCAGTAACCGGCGATTCAAGCTAGAACCAGCGGTAAATCCCAGTTACCGATTGGTTTCGACTAGCGGATTTCAACGATGAAATGATATAGAAAAACAAACAATATATGTATAGTAATATTTAAAAAATTAGAAATAATCATCAATATGATTAGAATTCTCTTTTTCTACTTATTTTATCAAGATTTAGTGAAACAACACTCATATTTTAAAGCTATACTAAGATGTCGCTTTTTTCTTTCTTATTGGATTGATTGAAATTATTCAAGACTCGTTCAGTAGATAAAGAACGTAATCAATAAATCGATTGTTAAAAATAATTTTTTAAATTTATAATATCCATGTATATGATTACCACTTTCGTTTGTTAATTTGTCTAGATATTTCCCGAACAATTAATTTAAGTTTTAGATATTAATATTTTCTGCATGTGTCAAAAGTCCTTTTATTCTCGTTGAGTTATCAAAGAAAAAAGTAAATATCAATTGTATGAATGTTTTTCGTCTTAAATAACAAAATTTGTATTCTCAAGATCAATGTCGCATTAAACGGTGATCAATTTGGCGATGAAAATATCATCGTTGATGATTTACCATTTAAATCTATATTAGTGAGTTATGTTTATAGTAGGTTTTGCTCATAAATTTTTAGCTGTTGTTTTTTTTAGATTTATATAAATTCAGAAGGAGTATCTGTAGATCTGTTTCGGTTATATGGTGCTCAAACTCACATAGGTCGTTATGCTGCACTTGTAATGGATAAGTTATTTACGGTAGAAGAAATAATAACCATTACTAAAGATGAATTGGACGTAGTTAGAATAGCAGAACATGTACTTAATTCATGTTATTTTATGTTATAACTCGTGTTTTTGTAGATGCGTTCTACCTGTGTGAAAATATAATGTACGCGTCTTTTTTGTTTGTCTAAGTACAAGTTAATTTTGTTGAACATGTATGATGTAAAATAATGATAAGTGATTTTTTGTATTTCAATCATTTAGAATGCTCTTTTGTTGTTTTGCTAAAGGTTCATTTTGATAAGATTTAAATAAAGTCTAGCTAAAAGCTGGATATGAATTGAAACTTTTACTGTAGACTAGATTCGATCCTGTCTGAAATTTAATCAGTTTTACAAATTATTGAAATCCTTTTAAGATAACACACATGTAAACAAGAAATTTTATAGAAAATCGTTTCTGACGATTACTTATTGCTATATACTATATGGTGTGATCGACAAACCACCATCTTGAGGGTGTGAGTATGAGTTTAGTTGTTATTCACTCAACCCACACCTTCAAGATGGTTGTAGAAGACAGAGAGTATCTGGAAGCACTTATTTGTACCTCTGCTTATTGTATTAATTTTTTGTTCATTGTCATGTTCTTTTCCATTACTTACTCAAGAGACAGAGGTGTGCGGGTCACGGGTTTCTACCCGCGGGGGCCACGTGGCCACGTGGCGACGGGCGGGCGGGGATGGTTTTTTGAAAAATTTGCTCGGGTCGGGCGGGCTACGGGTATTGCAGACTAATCGGCGGGCTGGACGGGTACAAAAAAAAAATAAAATGATACGATCCTCGGGCGGGCGAGGATAATTTCCACGGGTTACGGGCGGGTAAAGAAATTTTTTGAGATATAATATAGGACCGTCGAGAATAATCGATAGATATGATTGACCGACAGTTACGCGCGGACATTTACGCGCATGACACTTACGCGCGCGACGGTTGAGCGTATAGACATTTGCGCGCGAATTGAGAAAAAGATGATAAAATATATTTTTTTTAAATTTCGTTTGAATTATGAACGGGCAGAAATATATGCTTAACTGCTGATGAAAAAATTGTTCTTAATTTCAAAAAACATATTGATATAAATTACTAACAGAGATAAGTAGTATTTACTTACAATAAACAAACAAATACGCTAAGTGAACAATAATTGAGAATAAAGAATGTACTCGTTCAAAAATTAAATACTGATCTGGCTATTTTAAAACAGTCATTCCTAGAAACAGTATGATATTCTTCGAACATGTTTCGTATTCGAAGATCAATTTTTTCATATTTTATGCGTTGGTCTTTGCCTTTGACTGATTTTATAAGAGACTTTTATATCTTAGAAATTATTAAAATAATACGCACATATATATGTATACTTTCTCTTTATACTTTTATCTGATTTTTTTTTAGTTTTAATCTCATTTTGATACAAAAAGCAAGTTTGATATTAAAACTAGATAATCTTTTGATTCTCATTAATATCTTCTATGTATTTTCTTAATAAACCAGTCTCACTAACAGAACATTTTTATTTCTGTTAATACATATGAGTAATTTAATCAGACGAGAACAGCACGCAAAGATTTTTTTTGCGCGCAAGCGTCGTGCGCGTTTATGTCTTGAGCGCATACGTCGTGCGCGTAACTGACGTGTCACGATTTTTTCTTGTAATAAATATCTTTATATGATAAATAAATTAAATATACAAGATAAACAATTTATTAAAATTTCAATCATTAACTGAAATATCTTCGGGGTAATACGGGCGGGGCTAGGCCCGTCAGAAAATTGACGGGGCGGGCGGGCTAGAAAAAAAAGTAGACTACACGGGAGGCGGGCGGTGCGGGTTTTAAAATTTGACGGGCGGACGAGGCGGGGAAGAGTTATAAGAATTTGCCCACGAAGACGGGCGGGACGGATTTAACACGTTACACGGGGCGGGGCCCGCGGGGCATCAAAAATCATTGCCCCGCACACCTCTGCAAGAGAACAGATGAAAATAAAATTCTTGATGATATATATTTAACTATTTGAGCCTGTAGCACAAAAATCAAATGCATATGCGACGAATTGTTCTAGTGTCTATTCAATCACCGCTCATAAAGCAAAAGATCAAATGATGTCAAAAATTGTTGATGATTTACGCCTTCCACCTAATAGAGAGGAGATTGCTATTCGTTATGTACTATCAGGACGGGTGGTGTCTCGCAATGGAATTGCTGTTTTACGGTATTTTCCTTACTCATTATTACTAATAGCAAAGCCAAGTAAAGCTCAACGAGCTGGACTTGGCAGATTTGATAAATTAACGAATTAACATTACAAAGATATCGAATTTGGAAACAATAGTTGTTAATATTTATTTGTATTTAGAATAAAAATTTTCTTACAACGATTGACGTTTGGGATGAGTTATGCTATAAATAACTACAGTATTAACCGTTTCCATCAGAAGACTAAATATGTTAAAATTTTTCTTAACATTGAATTCTCACAGTAATCTAAATAAGTATACTACGCATACTGGATATTCATCGGTTATCACCCATAAATAAGAAAGAAATTTCATTACTATTAGACGATTGAACTCACAAAATAAGCTTCGGGATTTTATCTCAGTCTTATCTGGAAACGAAAACTCTAGTTCATCTTCGAGATTCATGTAGATTTCAATTATATAAAATTCTGTCAAAAATATAAAATTTAATATTTTGTAATAAATCGATAATAATTTGTTTGTAGATAAATGAAATTTATTTAAAATACATATGATAATAATAACAGCAGCTTTATATTGCATTTCAAAAAAATTATATAATAATCAATCTAAAAAAATCTGACTATAATGATCATATGACTCGGCAGAAGCATTCGAAATTAATCCGTATCTAAACCTCCCAGTGGCCTGTCGAAATATTTTTAACATCTTTTGCGTATCTAAATGACAGATATAAACATAATCACCTATATGCTTTAATAGAAGAACTTGCCTGTTTAAGAAATCGGTCATAATACCTGACCACAATGGAAGATAAGCAAACCATTTATGAATTAATTGATTTTGTTGCTAATAAATTCTTTAGAAATGATCTGATTAGGATCAGGTATAGTATTGCATGCTTCAATATTGAAAGGTGACTGATGAATAATGGCATCAGTCATAATATCAATCGATCTCGTCAGGAAAATATGCTTTACTCTCATCGCACTTGTTCATAATTTGTTCGTATAAGTCAAATGCGTCATCGATGTTATGATAGTTCAGTAAAACAACAGAAAGTGTCATTAGTTGATGATGAGCTTCTTTTAACGTTTCAGTTTTGTAGAGACTTCGACAAAATGCTTTCATTGCGTGTGCGCAGCAGAGACGTACTAAGGTCGTGTTACGTAATTAAGATGTATTATATGCATCGTCAATGATATTACTATATTTGTGAGCGTTTTTCAATAACGCAGCGGATAAATCAATGACAACATAGAGCTAGTTTGCTACGAACGCATTTAAAATACCATGTAATAGAAAAAGACACGTTTCTGAGCCAGTTGCGTCAATATGTAGATAAGAGTAGTTTTCGGTCTTGCAATGCTTAACAAATTGATCAGACTGTGTTTCTGTAAAGAAGTTAACTATGCAGGACTATTGCCCAGTTGTCTTTATAAAGCCTACATACAAAAAAAACTATACTATTTGGTAAATTTATATATTAATAAGGTTTTATAATCTCTAAAACTACTCACATAACAATAAATGTGAAATAGATATGTTATACTAAGATTATTTTATATCAATCGATACTTTCTTTTTCAATTAAGATAAAAATAAATTCTATTATCAATAAATATATATATACAAATACTGGATAGAAGAAAAGAAAAAAGATTTGAAAATAATGTTAAAAATCTTCTCGTTTTATTTTGTATTTTTATATATAAATATTTTAAATGTTGTGGATGCAACTGGAAGAAATCGTACATATCTTATAAAAAAAGATTTTATAAGTGGATTTAAAGGTGGCGAATTTACTGTTTATGATTCAAATGGAAAAATTCGTCAGTATAGAATGGAATCAAAATTTGGTATTACTCATGATGTTAATGTTCATACACTTCCATCAAAAAAACTTTTGGCTAAATTAAAAGCTAAAGTTACAGCTATTATGTATAAAGCAACAATAACTATATTTGATAATGATTCAAACAAATGGATAAATGGAACTATAGAACAAAATTATAAATTAATCGGAAATAAATTCACTATTCTATTCAATGGAAATCTTTTATTAATGGAAGGAACACCTTTTTCATTAAATACACAATTTATTGATGAATCAAATGGAAATACTTTAGCGAAGTTTCGAAAAAGAGTTACTTCTTACTTTTGGAGAAACAAATATGATTTACAAATTTTATCAAATAAATATCCCGATACACTTTATTTTTTAGGTATTGCAGCAAGAGATCATGCAAATAAAAAAATTCATCGCGGTTAATCTCAAATATTTAACAATTCACTTTTTTTTTGTAACTATTTTATCAAATAAAAGTATTCATTTTATTCAATAATATTGAGAGAATGATTGTCTTTATTCAACAAATTTTCTTCTTCTTTCTAACTTTATATATCTTTTTAAATCTACACGTGTTTTATACACGTAAGCAAATACTTCCATTAACTTTCTTATCTAGTAGACAAAATTCATACTACTCAAATAAGTTGTTTACCAAATATTAAACCAGCTATTTTATTTTTATCTATAAGAATTCGAATAACGCAATCAAAAATCATACCTGTTCTTTTGAAGTTATTTCATTTTCTTTCACGAGCCTAAATGATGATAATACTGACGCTTCAATAATTGTTAAATCCTTTCTCCATTATTCGGCCAAGTTCTTTTCTTTATGATAGAGACGGTTCAATTCTCTATATTTTCTGCTAACGAAGAAATAATTGAAACATGTAAACTAAATAAATTTGTATTATCACACTATCATCAGCTTTAATATAACTACAAGCACCAGTCAACATACGCTGAATGTCTTCTGTATGTTGAAGCCAATGTATTTTGTTTATAGTAGGAATATAACGATCACAATTTGAAGAAGCATAAAAGCCAGTAGTATCTAAACGACAAAAAATTCAGGTTTTGTATTTAAATAAAAACAAATATTCGTATATTCTTGTATGATTTTTAACGTATCTTTTGAGATGATTAATGTAAAACAAATACAAATGCTGAAAATTTATTCCGATTCGAGAACACATATGGTAAGTTCCTTAGGTTTATTATTGAAAGTCTGCAAGTTTGCTCTTTTTTTCATTTCACCTATTTTATGGATTAGTATTATTTAAATGGCATTCGTAGTGGAACAAAAAATCAGCGAAAATCTTATCGTTTCTTGGTGCCTTAACCATATTCTACCGTTTCCTGCGACGCCGGATTACGGTGACGCGAAAAAATCGATTTTCGTCGCATTATAGCATTTTTACACCGTCGCAGTAGGTTTTGATCTGGGATATGTATGAGCAGATTTTGCAAATTTAATAAATTAATCATTATTAGTAAGATGAACATTCATACCGCACATTTTTTCCTCGCATATCCGGCAGGTAATCTTCTTGTTACTTTGGAAGAATGTAATGGTTGATGGTTTGTCTGAATCAGACAACGACATGGTTGTCATATAATACAATGGAGAGAAATAACAGCAGAGAAAAAAATGAATTGTTTATAAAGGATCCAAGCAAGGCGAGTGAGTACACATCATTTGTGCTAGCGATACGACGTGAGCACAATAACAGTGGAAGAAAAATCAAATATATCACTTGCGAACAAAGAAAGATAGAAGATATCAATTGTAAACAAAGTGCGAAAGCCCAGATATGGATGTGGATGTGGGTGTGACAATACTACAGTATTAACAGCCACACCCTCAAGATGTTCATTTATTGTTTTATTTAAATATTTTCGTTTAGAATAATATTTTTTTTTTATTGTAAATAAGTTTTATATTTTTTTTATAGATAAAATGAATGAAACCCATTATTAATTCATAAACAAACAATATCTGGTTTAACTGATCTATGTTGTTCAAATGATTAAAAGTTATATTTTAAATATTGGTTTTTTAAAATTTTTGTTTGTTTTCTAATTTCAGGTATGTAATTACTTGTTCTATGGATGGTTTTATTAGTATATTTGACACAAATTCAAATAAATTAGAATCGTTTTATTTGGTCGGTAAATGCTTTTGTATTGATATATATGTAAGTTCTTTTTTAATATTTTAAATTTAAATATAATTTATTCAATTATTAGAAAGATAATTTACTTCCCAGGACGATGATTCCTGAAGCAGTATTTCGTAAATTTCCAGTTGAAATCCGCAGACAATATACCGTTTCCGGACCGGATTGTTCGATCTGTGATTATTGGAACAAACCAAGATCAACTTGAAATAAGAAAGTTCATTAGCGGTGAACGATCAAATATATTCGAATTAAGAAAACGCATGTCAAAATATGTGTTGTCGAAGCATTAATATATTTTGATCTTGTTACCGCAAAGTAAAAAAATTTTTTTATTTAATTATATTTTATTTCTTGTTTCTTTTAAAGTAATTTTGAACTTGCAATGGTAAAATTAGAAGATGGTAAAGAAATAAAATATGTTGCTAAATATGTTGATAAAGTTATTAATAGAAAACCATATATTAAAAAAAATTTGTTAGTAAGTGAATCATTTCTTATATTTGATGTTCAATAATAATATAATATTTTAGGCTGTACTTGTATCAAATAATACTGTTAATATATTTCAGCTTGATAATCAAAGTTTGTTAAAAGTATTTCGTATTGATGAATTTCACAACATAACGTTAGTTTAAAAATTAATTCACTTTTAATAATTATACTAATTTAATTAAATTTAGATTTGAAAGTGGGTGTGTAGAAATGGATTGTGATACAATTGATGACGTGAGTTTTAATAGTTTTTTAATTTTTATTAAAAAAAATTATATTTCATTTTTTTAGGTTTTGGCAATTCCTGTTCAAAATAGTGTACGATTCTTCAATATCAAGGATTGGGAAGCAGAAAATCGTTTTCATAATAATGAGATAAGTCATGTAAGTTTTTTTATTCTTTATAAAGATAAAAATATTTTCTTTTTTTTAGCATATTAATTTAATAAGTTTTAATAAAAGTCGATTGGTGTTTATTATTGGTTATCTTAATGGTTAAATATCAAATAGAAATCGTGTTAATCGTTGTGTATGAAAAAAGTAAGACTTTTTTTGTCAATTTTATAATTTTATTTATAGTTTTGATTATAAAGAAGCATTTGTTGGTTTCCGTGCTGGATTGTTCGACCTGAGCAAGATCAATATAAACATTTTAAAAAATTATTTTGAAAAGTTTTTTGTATTTATATATTAGTTTTATTCTGGTGTAATAAAATAAAATATAAGAATTTAAATATATAGTTGATAGAGGCACAAATAAAATTCAATGAAAAGGTTCTTGAATTATAGACAATAGTCGCTTTTACACATAAAACAAGCACACAAAATGCTGTGCTATGGAGAGAGATAGAGAGTGTGTGTGAATATTGGAGTACTATTACACGTACACCCACACCATCTCTAGTTTTGTATACTGTATACACAGAGCACTAAATATATATTCATTAAAAAAAGAAAGATGTAAACAAGAATTAGTCAAAATTTGAAAAAGTGAAAATGAATTCTAGCTCATGCACACCGATACGCTTCTTCTACTCATGCGTAATAAAAGTCTGTCATGTCATCTATACTCACTAAATAAAGATAAGTATATAATGTCGAGTAATAGCATACAAAGCAAATAAAATCCAATATATAACCACGTTTTTACAACATTTCTAAATAAACACCAGATTTCATTCTTTTTCATCATGTTACTCATACAACGTTTTATTCTTCTTATCTGTTGTTGTTTCTTGAATTGTAATGCTCTTCAATGCTTAACTAATTGTTCGTATACGTTTAACTTTGATACACCATTCAATGTACCTAGTCGATGCAATCAACAAGTATCAGCCGAAAAATGTCGTGTACAACTTACTTTTTGGTACTATCTTCAAGAATACGTTGTGAATTTCGAAGCTGAGCCATCGAAAACCATTATTAGTACAGATAATCAGCGTACTACTATGATCGAAATAAAACCAACCGAGTCATTCTTCTTTTATTATGGAATTAGTCATACATGCACGAATGGAGATAGTTGTGCTCAAGAGTTTGCCCAGATCGCAGTATACGAAATCATTAAGCGTCAAATCAATTATCTCGCTATAGTAAATGAACTTCGACCCCTGATTTTAACTGCTCCACAATCTGCGAACGATTCGGATCTTGCGTGTTTCAACTCAAACGAAAATGTGCGACAATGTGCTATTGCAAATATTCATGGTACATGCACAATTTCGGATAAATTAATAGAAAATGAGATAATTCACTCTTGTTCTAATGATATGCATACCAAGATGTCCTATTTGAATATATCTGATTCAGGTAGCTATGCTACATTTAACATCAACTGTAATCGACCCTTATGTAATGGACAATTAACACTAAAAGCTGTCAAAGATATTATGTTTAAATACAATGTGACAGTATCACCCCAAGGACGATTGAATAATGGTTCACAATTTATAAAAATATCTTCTTGGCTCATGATGATTATCATTGTTACAATATTGATAAATTTAAATTAGATTAAAACATACTGTGATACAAACTAAAATTTATATTTTTCTAGATTATATAATGTTTTTCTGATCTGCTTTCAAATATTATTTCTACGGAAAAAAAGATGATTTATTTAAGATGTACTATATGTTCAGTATTTTTGATAACAAACGTGAATGAATGTGAGTTTATAATGCTGATCAGATGTTACGATCTTCTAGTCATTATGACTTTGGAAATGAATATTATTTTTCTACTTAGCGTTTAAAAAGGGACGTGGATGTGGCTTGGTATGAGTAATAGTGAATACCTTAAACGTAATGTTTCTTTGTCTATATTCATTGTGAAGAATGTTAATTTTTTAGTTTCACTGATCCTTGCTTTAAATATATTACGAAGATCGATTTTGTTCCAAAATTCAATTTGAAAATATAAAAAACCACAGACTTCAGATAATAAAATATTCACATCAGTTACATTATCAAATGGAAGTTTGATTTTAAAATTCATTCATCCCATATTACCTTTCGAGTTCATCCTTATAAGTATGTAGAAAGTTTTTTTTCATTAAATAAAATTAATTTGATTTCTTTTATACAAACCCAGGACGATGATTCTTGAGGCAGTATTCCGTAAGTTTCCGGCAGGAACTTTGCCGAAAAATGCCAAGTATGCGATACTGGAATTAGCTCCAGGTGGAACCAAACAGATCTGGTAACGGATCCGTTCACCGGAATATTGCTTCCATGAAATCTCCGAAATTGTCTTGAAGCGACCGTTTCCAGGCCGGATTGTTCGACCTGGGTGTTTTTCGTGGTTCTCCTTTAACTCTTCGTTTAATCGACTTCATTCGATTTTTTTCAAATTTCTGCAATGCAATAGACTTATTCCGATACTTCATGATTTATTTTTATTACCACAGTCAATTTCACTCACGACTGAAACATTAACTATTGAAGAAGGAATGAATGATATTTATAGTATGATGTTTATTGTACCTAAATTAAAATATTATCGAATATCACTTTTTAAACATTATAATCATCATCAAATTACCCTACCAATTGCAAGGTACAATGAATCTAGTTCTTTACAATATCTTATCATCGATCATGAATGTTCATTCAGTGAACTTTTACTTTTACTTTCATATACACCACAACTTATTCGTTTGACAATTCATAAAATTTATTTCAATGATTCGGATAATAAAATGTTTACATCAATTAAATTATCAAATATAAATTCCATCTATTTAAATTTACAAAGAATTACATTTAGTCAAATGGAAATATTCATTATCAAAACCACTTCAAATTTGAAACGCTTGTTTGTAATGATAAATTCAGAAAATATTATATTTCGTAGTGCTTAAAGATGGGAAAATTTGATTTTCAATTTCCATCCTCAATTAAAACAATTTTATTTAACTTAGTTAAATGTCTTAGAAATACTAATAAAACTATATGTTTTTTTTTCTCTATATTCATTTAATATAAATAAATAAATAGCTTCAGATATTCAAGAAATTAGAATTATTATCAATGATAATTTATGATGCTTAATTCATTCAAGTAATTCTATAAATGAAATTAATGAAAACTGTTCCGAAAGCAATGTTAGATGAAATACCATCATATATATTATAGTTGTACATTGAGAAAAAGGATGAGTTTTTTTGTGAAATATTTATCGAACGCTTTCAATTTTGATTTCATACAAAAATTCAAGAAAAAAAATGACATAAGATAATTATAAATAAAGAGATTTTTTTTTTAATTTTTATACGTCTTTTGAAAAGAAGAATATTCAATTTATTGAGTAATCGATTTTGTCATATACTCAGGTCAATGCTTGCTGCGGCAGGATCCTGTCGAAACTTTGAGGAAACTAGAGTAAAGACTCTTCACGAAAAAAGAATGATCAGAATATTCTAATCTGATGTCATCATCAATCCATAAACATAAAATATTTTGCAAAGTCATTAATGATACGTATATGTCATATTTATTTGTTCTCCTATAAAATAGAAACGTCATTGAAACTTTTCTATATTATCATATTCTTTCACTTCACATGCTTACACTCGCACACACTCACATCCAATATTGATAATATAAATTGTTCTCGATTTTTATTCTTATAAAAAAGTTCTTTTTCATTGATTTTGCTATTTCGAAAATTAATTATTGTTAATTCTATGTGTTGATGGTTCTAATGAGTCATTTCTCTTTGTATAATAAGCAACTAGACTGATTATTATAATACAGAAACGACAAAAAAATCAGAAAAATATCATATTGGATACCAATATTACTATTTCTTAGAATAAGCCAGACCACAGAAATCAATTGACTTCTAGGAGAAATATTGTGTCGAACGATTGTATGTAAATCAAAAAGAGAATGGTTAACAGATGTCTTGACGAAGATTGTACTTAATAATTGATGTTTATCTATTTTACTCTCTTCATGCGTATAGTAATATTCCATTATGGTAAATAAAGCATATTTCTTACTAATTAATCGTATCACTTAAGACTCCATGATAAAAAAAAGAAAAGAACAGAATAACTATAACTGTTATTACACAAGAAATGTCATCAATACATATGGACGCTTTTACGATAGTTATTAGTGAGAACAATTAAATATTTCTCTATATTGTTAATATTTTCTCAGCATGTAGAAAATAACATCAATCTCTATTGATGGTTTACACATATTTAGAAGAAAGAGAACAACTTATTATGTGTATAGAAATATATTTTCTAATGAATACCAATAATTAAAAAGGATGTTCAAAATAAATAAACAATAATTTATTCAATTCTTCATATACATTCTATCTCTGAGAATATGATGAAACGATCACACACGATTTATAATTAATTAAGAGAAAAAAAAATTCTTTTCATCACTTCATCGTATTGTCGACAGAAAGGAAAAGATCTAATACATATATATATTCTTATCTCGACTCGTAAGAAAGTTACTCTTTTCATATTATCTTATTTACATCAATGCTATCAATATATATGTCAAACCGGAATTATCCAGTTGTCTATTTTCTATTATATATAAAGTCTAAATCTAACTTTTGTCACTTATTATCTATTATGATAAGCCAGGTAGGATTGAATAAACGATTAAATAGAATTTTATAATATAAATTATATTTTCAGGAGTATTTTTTTATCATTTAAAAAATCAGTCATAAAATAAACTATTTATGAGTCTGTAGTGAAAGGTAAAAAAGTCAAAAAAGATCTCGTTTGAATAATTGACGATATTTTAGTAAGTACTGACAATGAATAATTCATCAAGTCCATCGATAGAACCATCTACTACTAAAGTTGTTTTCACTGCCGCTCGTTCTCGTCTAGTACGTGCTGTTCGTGAACTGAATCTTTACTCTGATCATCCATTTTGGTCACCGACGCTTACTTATGCTGAACAATTGCTTAACACTCGACTTTTTATCTTTTTTGTCTCTATTTCTCTACTGATAGTCATTATTTGTACTAGTTTAAATATTCGAACACACGAAGTCACTCTCGAACGGTTTACTCTCAATAAATTTGAACAACTCGAAGCTCTTCATCCATTCTCCATCAACGTACCTTGTACTCAACTATCTATTCCTTATAATAAATTCATCAATTTATCTGCACAATTTCATCAAGTTTGCTCCAGTCCATTTATTAGTCAAAAATGGATATCTTCTCTCTTTCTTCCAAATGCCACATCCCATCATCTTCTCGATTTTCGTACATTTACTTTTGCTCAATTTCGAACTCTTGCTCTATTTTGTCGTACGGCACGTCGTGCTGTCACTGATGCTCAACACGCATTTGCTTCTACGCATCTAGTGACTAGTCATGCTCTTTCTCGCGCACACTTCCTCAAGATTATGGATGTTATAGTCACGAATTTTAAACATCAAGTAAAGGCTAATGAACGACGAACAGCAGCATTCGTATCATTAAGTATAGCAGAGAATCGAGTATTCTCAGCATTGCGTACAAATTATTATGTTCAATCGGTGCCTAGTTCACGTTCTTATTTAACAATTAATGGTGTCTATGCAAAGAAGAATACAACAGTGGAATCAAACTGTTTTTGTCGATTAGAAGGAAATCGATGCATTTCTCCAACGGGTATTTTTGACAAATGGACGCCGCCAGTTTCACTCACTTCAACAGAATCGATATTGACGCCTCGTATTCAGGTAAAGAAAAAGTCTTTTAAATACAGTATTTGTTAATTTTTCATCAAGAAATATTTCTTGATCATTGAAGAAAAAGATTTCTTCGTTGAAAAAAAAAACCGAAAAATGTTTATCTAATGTCATTGACTTCATTTATAGATTCCAGGTCTGATGGCCGGTTGTCTTCCATTTGATTCCATGCGTCAATCAACACTTGAATGTCTTTACAATCAATCATGTGTTAATATATTAACCCTTCAGCCTCAATTGTCTCGACCGAAAGCTTTAAATGCTTCTATATCCAGATTTCTTGTCAATGAAACGATCGAATCAATGTTCGATCAATCACTTTTCCTTGAATCATGGCACAGTACGCCCAATTTTGAAAAATATTTTTCTGCTTGTGCACCTCGATCGCTCTCCTATAGTTACGAAGATCGGTTTTATTTTTCTACAATCTTTACTATATGTGTTAGTGCGTTTGGTGGTCTTATTCTTGCTTGGCAATTAATTACACCAGCTATTGTGAAAGTTTGGAAACGAATAATATGGAAAAGACGACAAAGACATCCAACTATACCATTACAATCAAGAAGTATTGAAGCGGCTATTCTAAGTGTAGCACCCAGACCACTCAATGAAGGTTAGTGTAGTAAGATAGATTTTTGACACTATGAGCATTGCTCAAAACTATATAATTGACAAAATAGATTAATGTTTTCTTTTAGCTGTGGTCGCTCATGCTCATCAAACAATATATACATTCAATTTATTTTCATCAGATGATGATAATGATCCAGAAGAAGAACGTGTAGGTATCATTGCCACTCGTTTATATATCCTCTTCTTACTACTTGGTCTTCTTATTTTGGGTTTTTATACTTCTGTAACGACGCATACAGATATCGATAATATTCCTTTTCCTACTCTCGAAAAGTTTGAAGAATTGCACTCTATGTACTCGTCTTCTCTCGAATGTCCATGTACACATATGTCTATGTCCTACGCTCGAATTATGTCTATTATTCCACGCTATCATTCAGTGTGCTCAAGTGAATTTCTCGAAGACTATTGGCTATCCTATTTCGGTCTAGTTCACCTTGATGGGACATCAAATACGTTTCTTACTTCTGATTTTCGAGTTAGTGGTCAATCATTTTTCGAGTTACTGAATATTTTCTGTAAAGCAGCAAATGAAACAGTTCAGAATGCACTCGATGTTTTCCGTTCTACTCGTTTATTTACAGCTCATACGATATCACGTGAGGAATTTCATCTTCAAACATCTACACGTATGCAACAATTTGAACAATATATTATTTCCTCATTTCTCAATATTGCCGAATTAGTACATTCTTCTATTGAAACTAATCGTCTAATTACTGAAATGTTAACGAGTGATGCACCTAAATCAAACTTCAATAATCAAACATCGACATGGTCTCTTGGTTTTCGACCTCGACGTCTCTATACTAATTCTTGTTCATGTGCTTTATCGAATCAATGTACACGTCCAATTGGTTTCTACCTACAATCAGATACAGTTCGCTCTCAACCTAACGTCACTATATCTGGATTACTTGTTGGTTGTTATCCAATCGATTCTTTTCTTCTATCTACTTTAGAATGTTTGTATGATCGACAATGCCTTAAACTCATAGTTGACATGTATGATTTTGATGTCGTCAATTTAGTTCAACCATTAGACAAACGTGTTCTTAATATTTCACCTCTTCATTATGAAAGCAGTCGTTTTCATCCGAATAATACTATGAAAATGATTTATTCACAATTATTCGTAGAAGAATGGATGACTTCCAGTGATTATATAAATTATTATATACGTTGTGCACCTACACAATGTACATACAAAGTTATGCGACGTTTCGACATACCTTACATGGTAACGATTATGCTCGGCTTCTGTGGTGGACTTAGTGTGGTTTTAGAAGTTATTCTACCACCAATAGTTAAAATTATAAGACAATGTTGGAAAAAGCGAATACAACATCCAGAAAGACAAATCAACACTACGGTAATAAAAAGTAAGAAACATTACAGTATTTTTCATTCATACTAATAAAATAGATCGAAACAAAAGTATTTCTGACATTTTATTAGAGTTCCTTTATGCAAAAATAATATCTTGATTATATTTTAGATACTTCTGTTAATGCCAATAATGAAGAAGAACTTCGTCCTGTTTCCAATGTTTTTCAAAGGTTTTGGTCATTTAATTTATTTTCATCCGAAATACTTTCAACTGACAAACAACTCGAGCATCAGGAAATCGTGGCTACCCGTATCTATTTTCTTCTAATTTTCTTTTGTCTCGTCAGCGCTTTTCTTTATGCTAGTCCATTTACTGAAGAAATAGACACAACGATAATTGCCTTACCTACATCTGATATTGTCAATAATTTGCATGCTAAAAATATTTCAACTCTTTCTTGTCCTTGTTCAACCGCAGCAGTTAGTTACTCTAAATTTCTCCGCATTATACCTCATTACCATCCAATCTGTTCTAGTCAACTTACTTCACCTTCTTATTGGTTTCATTTCTTCAACAAAACTGATGATGTATCCTTACAACTTAGTGCTCAATATCGACTCTTAGCATCTTTATGTAATGTATCTCGCGATATCATTGAAAACAGAATTGACATATTTGGTACACGTGAATTAATTAGTATAGAAACAGCTACACGTTCTTCATTTTATGCACAAACCAATGCACTTGTTACGACGTTTATTACTCGAATTCCAGCTGACTTTCGTCGAACACTTTCATTCACCATCGATTCATTTGGAGCTAATCAATTATTAAATGTTTTCTCGAGTAATTGGCAAGTAAGATTTACTAGTGAAAATGAATATTATCTGATTGGTACCCATCCACGTCGTTTTTCTTCATCGAACTGTAGTTGTGCTACGTCATCTGATTGTCGTGAACAACTTGCAGAAAATGTATTTAGTGGTTGTTTTATATTTGATGGATTTCGTTTATCGAAATTTGAAAACTTTTCCATGACACCATTGATCAATAAGCTCTTTGTAGAATCGTGGCAAAATGAAAGTAATTATACAGCGTATTTTGAAACATGTCGACCAATGGAATGTCGATATACACTACCCGATCGGAACAATTTTATTTATATTTTGACAACTGTTTTAGGTGTATATGCAGGTACAATAACTAACTACTTTGTTCATAAGAAATAGATAATATTTTATTCATTTCTATATAGGTTTGAGATATGCTCTTTATCTCATCATTGGTCAAATTCTACTCGGTTATCGATGGTGGACTAAACATATTCGTCGACGACAACAAATGGAAATTACTGGAACTGAACCGATGACCTTGTGAATAATCGAGTGTCATAGGGTGTGAGTGTGAGTGGACATAGTTGTAGATTTTCAATTGTCAGAGTATTTCAAGAATGTTAGCGTTGAGCAGAAGGTTAACTATGGAACAAAATAGAACGGAAGTTTATAATTTCATATTTTATGAAAAATAATATAAATAATCTTTAATATTTCAATTTCAATTAATTAATATCGACACAAGTGAAACATCAAATACTCAATTAAAGACTATGTATGTGTATTGTTAAGTTAGTTGTAATAAATTATAGAAATCATCTAGGATGTGGGCGTGAAACTGGTTACCGATATAGCTAATATCCACATTCACACTCTCAAGAGATTCGTGAAATTTTGTGCATGAATAATATTTTTATAGGCCTAGAAGATATTATCTATACAAGAAAAAGGGTCAAGCAAGTTCATAGACACGCGTTACGTCTTGAATATGTTCTTGAATTAATCTGGAATAACAACAAATGTCTATTTAGCAGAGGAATTTTGTGAAGATAGAACAAGAGAACGATGTTCCTGTGACAAGTCTATTAACACCTGCATTTCTTCACTCTGCGTTTTAAGTGCCTCTTGTAATTGTTTTATTATTGCATCTTGTAACTGTGTTTGTTGTTCTTGTTTTTCGGTAATATCTTCAAGCTGTTGAACAGATGCATTTTTCTCTTGAATCTGTTGTTCTTGTTCCTGTATAATGGCTTTCAAGCGATTTATTTCACTTTGCATTTGTGTTGAATCAGATGCATTAGAAATTGGCACAACCAGCTGAGCATTCAAATTAGTTTGTTTTTGTTCAATGAGAAGTTGAAGCTTTTTCTTTTCTCCATATGTAATAGAACAATTTTTATAATCATCTTCATTAAAATTCACTAAATCAGCGCCAGAGACGCGTTCATTTTTCAATCGTTCTGCTAATGATTTCGAGTTCAAGTCAAGTCGAAGCAAATATTCGTACAACTCATCAATTGATAACTTGTCAAGCGTTTTAATGGATGACACCATTTTGGTTCGAACATCATTTGAAGATAGATTCGACAACATTTCTACAACAATAAGAAAATAATGTATTAACTGACTGAAATTGTTTTGAGGGACATGAAAAATAGAGAAGAAGAATCTTCCTCCCCAAAATGTATACTGCTGGCTTTTGTCACTCACTTGATAAATATGTTGTTTGAAGTGAATCCATCTGATCTATATGTTGTTTGGCAAGCGAATTGGTATCACCTGTCGATGATAATTCAATTCGTAACATATAATGCGATGGTGAATGATTTAAAGTTTGTTTTCTATTATTGTAACATATGAGACACAGATTATAGTTCGGACATATTTGACATTCATAACGAGCATTTGAAAAGTCAAATGTATTGCAACCATTGCAGCGAATATCTTCAGAAGAAAAAATAGAAAATTTATTTTCTTCAAAATAATAATCGATGCATCTTACTGGAAGATTTCAGCATGACACTATAGATGAGTGATGATAACCGGGTTTGTTCGATTTATACTGAAATAAATAGACACTGTATATTATCGTTTTCGAAACAAAGATGAAAACTCGATGCAATACTCGCTTTCAATGTGACTAATAATGCACAGCGAATCGAACGAGTAAATAATATGATCCAAAACGAAAAATATCGTGTTCTTTCGGTCTGTACGGAGACGATTTCAGCGTCAAAAAGAAAAAAAACCTTCAAAGTTATTATCACCGTTTCACCCGACAAAAAGAATAGTTCTTTTTTTTTATCGTTCTCTTGCCCAAAGAAAAGGTTGTCTTATTTACCTAAGAAAAAAGAACTGATCGGAGTCTGACGCATAATGCGTCCTTGAATAAATATTCAAGTGAGAGGAAACGATATTTTCGCCTCAAGCCCTTTCATATCCACAAGATGGTAAGGGTGTAAGACTCACATTCTCATTTCAAAAGATGTTTATCGAGTCGGTTTATTCTGATTGCAGTATCTGGTTAAATTTCTGCTATCATAAGACAAGAACTTGGATGGGGACAATATATTGACGACAAAGTAGAAAGATTAAAAAAAATATATAATGGAATGAGATTCATCTTTGAAGAAGAATTTTTCTAGCGTTTGCACTTCCTCATTTTGTCTGATTAATATCAATTTAGTTCTTTTTTACCAATCATCATCAACAAAATATTAATATATCTACTCTCATTTTATGTCAACAAAAAAATCTTATATAACTATATTTTCTCTTTTTAATTCTCTCGAAGTTAACTTATATCTGAACACCTAGACTGAATTTCTAACAACAAGCACAACCGGTTAATCACAGTATAAGAGTCTTGGTTTTAGAAAAAATAATAAAGACTTATAGAGACTAGCGGAGAGAATAAAACATAGTAGAAGTGATTGGTGAGTCTTTGAGAGGAATCATAAGTCGCGAGATGAGATTTTCAAACATTCAACTTATTACTTCAGCCTCTTTATTTCTAAATACTTTTTGTCGTTCTCTTAAAATGCATTTTTGAATTAAAAACTATGTATTATAATGAAAGATAAGCAGATGTCGCTATACTTCATTGTGTATCTGATAATGTTCTCTCTAGTAAAATATTGTAAACAAGATGAATGTGTTATATTTTACTTCTTCTTTTCATGTGAATCAGATTACAACACATTAAAAAAAATTCTGTTGTCATGATGACTAATTCGGTGAATTACTCTTGCCTATGAATATAAACTGCGTCATTGTTTTGCGTGTAATACAACGCGCTTGATTTTGTTCTCTTTCACCATACACGTTATTCATATAAATATTTTTGTCATTTACCATTCGGGTTGATTTTTTTTGCACTTCGGAAGCGAAAGAAATGTCTTCAACGAATGACTATACTACTGCCACAGACTTGACTTTGCAGCAAGCTCTCGATGCTCAAACAGACATGGATAAACTTACAAAATGTGCCATGGATATGCGAAATACACGCATCGATCCTTGTGAAAGTACATCGGATATACCACCAATATTCGTCATTATCTTAGTCCATAATAATCAGAATTATGATGCCTAGTGAGTTGTCTGAAGAAGTCTCTTTGAGAAATATAAAAATTCATTTGTCATGACTTTTCTTATAGTGTGAATACTCGTGTTACTGTTGGTGATATCTTTCGTCAAATGGTTCAACTAAAGCTTCTTCAAGCAGCAGATGCTGAAACGTATTATTTCATGATCGAAGAGAAAACTCAAGTATCACTCGATCTACCTCAAACTTTAGTCAATGCAACTGATGGCTCTCGTTTTCTGATCCAACCCAAACCGACATCATTAGTTCCGACAGAAACAATTTTCATTAAAACGATGACTGGGAAGGTAATAGACATTAAGGTCTGTTTGAAAACAGATGCTATCGCTATGGTCAAGGAACGCATACAAACCAAAGAAGGAATTCCATCAGATCAGCAGCAACTTATTTTCAACGGTAAACAACTCGAAGATAATCGCACCTTGGCAGATTATAGTATTGTAAGTGAAAGTTATATGTACTTGGTCTTACGATTGCGTAAACCGGTCATTCGAATGAGATCGATCAATAATCAAGTAATTCGTCATGTTAATGTCTCTGTTGAGCTTGATCCAAACGTGTGGATCTTCTCAAGTCTGTATCCGAAACCATCAGTCACGGATAGCAGAAATTATATTCAATGGAATAATATGAATGTCCATCCAGATGGAAGAATTATTTTCGAAAAAAACGAGGAAGACAGACGACTACGCAGTCGATTCTATCCATCCGTTGATGATGAAACGGAATATCGAATGCTGTTTTGGGAAGCTCTGACACTCACTTCATCGCCTAACTTCCTTCAAGAGAAGAATCTTTGTGTTCCACGTCATGAATTCAGTAGAATCTTGAATTATCTTCTGAAGAAAATGACTTTATCAACGGAAGATCGGGATGTAAGTATACAGTGAGCGCCCAACATACAAACTCATGTTGATCGTTTGACTTTTTTTAGGATTTGATAACCTATGTACTTCCTCAACTGGATGAAATTGATCCAGAATGTAAACGAGGCAAAGTCGTCTTTCATTTTGTGTCTCCTAGCATATATTCACAGTCGGTGCAGTTATCAATTCGTCCTTTACCTCAACAATTATTGCGCATTTTTCTTGTTTTCGGTTTCGGAAACGAAAATGACGAAATCTCTACGTTAAATCAGTTGGAAAGCGAAATTGAAAAAGTCTCTATGATCGAAAGCTTATCAAATAGTGGATTAATCGTACATGAATGGGGTTCGATGTTTATCTATTGACATATATATTTTTATATTAAGTATGTATTTTTTCTTGTTGATGTTAAATTCTTTATGTTGTTTCCCCTTCATAAAGTTTGATAAATCCTTTCCTGTAAAATATTTTGATTTTTGTAATGTTTTGACAATCGATTAAAACTCATCACTATGAACTCGAAGTTCTCAAGAATTAACACTTAGTATTATTAATATAGTAAATTTCCGATTCGTTAGTGGATATTTAGCCATTACTAACAGTTAATCAGTGACTCTAAACGTACAACTATCATTAACGTAAATGATATTAATATTTTGCTAATAAAAATATTTAAGTATGTAATTGTGATTAATAATCGTCACACGTCATAAATAATCTAATGTTTTTTTTCTATTAAGTAAAAATAGTGCGGATATAATTAGAAGAATCTCATGTTGCTGTCTAGTTAAACTAGCGCTATTTTCTAGAAAAAGTTTCAAGCCGTAAAAACGTAGCTTCTACATATGAATATAGTTGTTAAAATAAACTCTGAGTTTGATCTGTCAATTATTTTAGTCATTACACGTCTATAGTTAGATGTAACCATATCTGTGTGTTTGTCTCGTTGGTCTAGGGTAAAATGAATTGATATACCGACGAATGTCATTTGTTCATATGAATTCAACGATTAATTTCCATTGAATACTTTTCAGTATGATTCGATCAATATAAAAACATATACTTGAGTGTCTTTTTCGATTATTCATTGTTTTCAATATATACGCATTTTCATCATTGTCGATTAAAAAGACGTTTGATTAGTTTTTTAAACTCATCTCGATACAATTTGGAGCTCGACGTATAGATATAAAAGGATGATACGTAGTTAATAAATATGATCAGACGAACAAACGAATAGAGAGTAAGAAAACTATTATCATTATCGACCAGAAGCGATACTAAATTGATAAGACTAAATGGAAGTGTTAAGACACAATCGATCATTGCTTGACAAATAAGCATCACTTGCATTTGATTAAGTGGACGACGCTTTCGACGAATCATAGTGTTCATAGGTAATATAGTTACTAATTGAATTGTTGTAGGTGCTGTACGATGTCGTCGTTGCATTGAATTCAAAATTATACCGATACTAAAGAATGCCATGAAAAATGGAGGAACTATTGAGTATGTAATTAATTGTAATAATAAGATAGGAACACTATAATAGTCATTAACTGAACAAAAGGGTGGTGGTGGTGTGTAATCTGTAGTAAATGTCACAAAAATATGTGAATATAATAAACAACAAACAACGATGATAACTGGTACTAATCGTCTTGCTACATAGATACTGGCAAATTTTCGCCGATTGGCTTGTACACAACTAGCTGCCCATCGATCAGCATTAGCGAGTATGATACAAAATCGTGGTACGGTTAAAGCAACATAGTATAAATAGGAGACCAATCGACAAGATAATAATGAATACGATGTTAGATCAAGATTGAAACCATCTGCAAAAATTCGAAAAGGAATAATAAAAATAGTGACAGACAGATCACCGATGGATCCACAAAGTAAATAGACAGAACTTGACGTTCGAGATAAAGCTGAACGAATGAAAAGAAAAATATTCAGAGTATTTCCAACTATACCAAAGAGAAAATAGATAAACAATAAAATACAATGTATTATCTGACTCGTAGTTGATAAGTAAGTGAAAGAATCATCCACATCAGAAGTATCATTAGTAGTATTTAATAATACGTCCATTTTTCACCAATAAACAAAGAACAGATGTTTTTGATTTCCCTTGACAGATCTAGAATGAATCGAAAAACATTTCAAATACAATAATACAATCTCAACAACGTCTGTTAGATTATCATATGCAACGATCATAACTAGGACTCGACATGCTCACATTTAATTCGCAGCTGATTAACTGTTCAAACAGTTATTTTTTTCATATGAACGCAGTTCGTGAACCAGAACTGTGTCTAACCCTAATCATAACATTTGATATGTGCTGATAGAATATTTTTATTTTGTCTTTTTCCAAATGCTATTTTTAGATGTATGAATGCGCAGTTATTAAAATGAGAATGAAGGCAAAGGAAAATCCTTCATGGTGAAGAGTAAGAAATAATAATTTCTGCTTTCACTGCTATATGAATAAGCATCATAGATTAGACACTTTTCTGTATCTTCTCGTTCTCTTTGTATTGGCTAAAACCTTTTGAAAAGGTCGTTTAATTGAAGGTACATGTTGTCTGTGGAGAGAAGATTATTTGGTAATGAGAAAAAATAGATGTGGTAGATGCGTAATCACAAATATAGACTACAGACATGAGATTTTTTTCTTTAATTTAGATAAAAGAATGTTTTTGATAAGCTTTAAATTTCTTACTAGAACTTCAATATGTGGCAGGCGATAACAGAATCTAATTCAGTTTGTACTAAAATTTAAATTGTAAAAATGAACCAAGTGGATATTGCTGATATATATGCAATATCTTATAAATTTAAGTTGCAAATTGTAGAGATAATTATTATCTATGATATAAAAGTATTTTAGATTTACATAAAACAAAATGTTACCGCTGTGCGGGACGTGCAAAACCTGGACTTTTTAATTATGATGAAAATAAATATCTTGTTTTCTCTCTTTTAAATTGAATCTGCATGAAATTATTTGTTACCATCGATATAAAGATTTTGGATGATCTGTTTACGTTGCGAATATAATCTTTAAACGATATCTACTATATTTCTCAAGCCGAATCTAGAAGTTTTTGTTAGTAGTCCTCCATCGCATTGCAAGCGATAGTTTTACGCTTAGAGTCAAACTTCCTTTGAATGCGTCTATCTTTATATCAAATTATATTATGTCCCTACTTCTCATTACCGACAGGAAGCAATGCTATTTTTAACTCACAGAATGACTTCTAATTTTATTTGAAAAAACATGATTTTAAAAAAAGCAGACAGTATACCTTATGACGAAATTACTCAGTTATTGCACATTTTTATTTCATCAGATATCAATACTGTTTTCAAATACCATTGCAAAAAGTAAATGTGTCTGCTAGAAATCAAATCCAGGTTGCTCGACTAACGATTAAATGCTCTTGTCTATTATTTAGAAAGATAGACGTTATAAAAATATACGATATTTTTCTATTACTGTTATTTGCTACTATTTCAGCGAAACTAAGTTACGCAAGAAATCATTATATTATGTCTTGAAAGTTGATTTAACATCGTGACACATTCTTATGTTTCAATCCATCTTCATACTACAGGATCTGAGAGCTGAAAAACGAAACGGTGCATGAATAGTGAATATAAATCCTATTGAATCGATTTAAATCTTATTTTCAAAATTTCTTAGCAAAGATAAAAAGTCATACAATTAATTAATTAGAATCAGAATTTATGTAACAAAGTTCACTCTAATTAATGCAGGTTGCTAGTCGAGATGATAAGAAGAAGTTTCTAATATGATTAAAATAAGAAAGTAATGACTTCTATAGATAGATCGATAGCTGCAAAACAAAACAGTGTATGAATAGAAGACATAAATCCTTCTAAATCGGTCTCAATTCTATTTTTGAAATTTCTCAATAAATACAACGAAGTAATTAATTAGTTAATTAAACATAATATATAACATGAAAGTCAACTTTCATTGGATAATTGTAACTCACTCGGCGGTCTGATAGAAAAAAAAGAGAAAAATCATTAACGAAACTTACCTTAAAGGATTCTCTAAATATAGATAAATGATAAAGTAGTCGCTGATATGTATACATCAGTATCTGCATAAGAAAACGTTGAACGATTAGTGGATATGAATTATGTTGACAATTTTTGTCTAAATTGCTAGCTAAGGGACGTTAACAAATAATGTCAGAAAGTGATGATTATTTAATGAGAGAATTATTTAGGCTATAGATACATCAATACAAACTTTTCCTAAAATAGTGGCTTTATAGCCCGCAGAAATATAAAAGAAATATGGAATGTGAAGAAAACTTACCTTACATTGATTTTACAATGATAGAAAATAATAGAGAGATTGTTGTACACACAGTCTGACGCGTACGAATGAAACAGTTCGTAACCCAAAGACATAAATTTTATTTCAATGTGTATATCTCGTAATACTTGTCATATGTGATATCTTTTACGTTTTTATAGATGTTTAATACATATTTCTTATATAAATATTGCTTGTTCTGCTGCTTAATGTTTTGTAGTCAAAGAGTAAACTAGAATGAACTATTCGACAGTAGAAATAGAACATATAGATAGACAATATGTTGCTATCTGCGGCTTCTCCCTTTTCATTTTCTTTTCTCTCTCTCTAAGAAGCAGCTCGTAGCTAACAAGTGACATTCCCTCATTCCTTTCATCTTCTATTTTCTTCGCTCTCTCCATCAACGTAAATAATCTATTTCATTAGAGAAAAAATACATATTCACATATCCTGTAGTCATCATTATGTGAAGAGGAAAAAAATGAGATTCACTAGCATATAACAAGTTCTACATGATTGCGAAAAGAAACACAATAGACGATAATAACTGAATAAAAAATTACATAGACTTTATTTGAGAAAAAATCGTCTTTTAACATACAGAAATATTTCAAAAAAATAAAGATCAGACTGTCTTCATTATCTCTGGTAAAAGACAGCTGAAGTATAAATAGGAGTACTGGGTACGAGTAGCTGCTCTTTCTATTCACGCCTCGCACCTTGAGAGGTTACTTTTCCACATGAATACCTCCTCCCGCAGGTCAACATTACTTTCTATTTAAAAATTATAAGAGTTTCTTCCACCTGTTTGTTTTTTTAAATTTCGACAGTAGTATCGGTTAATATGATTCCACATTGGAACATTACAATATGTCGCTCAAAATCTGCAAGAAGTCTCTTCCGCTTGGACACTCCAACAATGCATGGATACTGAAAAATATAGGATTATTGCATGAGAATAGAGTGACTTATCACAAGCGGCTAATATTTATCGTTGCGCATTTGTCTTCTACACTTCTCGATGTTGTTGAAATTGAACAACTCGTTCAGCGTGTCACATCTCAAATCATGAAGTAGAGGTGGATTTTGTGAAACAGTTTTAATTTGTACATTTAAAGTGCTACGAAAAACTGGGCTTTCAATAATTTGACTTGTAGTATCGTTATTTGCTTTCATATCATATTTCTTTTTTTCTGAGTAAAAGTTTTATTTTGTGTATTTTAACACAAATTATTTGGTGTTTATTATCTTGAGGATGTATAGATGAAAATAGGTGTAAATATGTTTCACACATCCATTCTTATCGTAAACATACTAAAAATATTTGTTTTCATTTATTGTAATCAGTCTCTGTAAGTTCACAATATTAAGGAAGAAGGAGAATAACAAGGAACGAAATAGAAAATGCATCTATTCACAACACCAATTAACAGAATAATGTTATAAAATAGAAAGCGAAAGAAGAATAGAAAACAAGTGCAGACAATAATTACATATTATAAATATTATAAAGAAACGAAATAGTAGAGAGAAAATCAAGACAAAAAATGAACAATAAGACATAAGCATGATTATGGTGAAATATACGTACTGCTCTTTCTATTCCTTTATGTTACCTTCTTCTGATTCTTTCTTAGTTTATAAAATTCTTTTGTTAAATGTAATATGTTGTTTTATTTTATTTGAATTTTGACTTTTGTTATATTATATTTTTAGTATATTCAGTTTCTTAAAGTTAAATTTATCGTTCTTGTTGATTTATTATTTCTAATTCTTAATTAATGTTATGGTGTGAGTGAGGGTGTGAGCGTTGGTATGATCGAGACAGTGATATGATTGTTATCAAAATCGGAAATTCAAATAATGAATGTTTTTAAAAGAGTATTTATTTAAAGTCAGTCATAATTCATTCTTGTCGATTGAAAATATGTTCAAATTATAAGATAAAGCGTTGAACCCGATGATTTGCTTGGTCGGCAACATAAATATAAGTCTCATTAGGATCGAGAGCGACACCTGCTGGTGTATTCAATTGATTCAGGCCGGCTCCAGCTGATCCGCTAATACCGACTACTGTAACACCTTGAGTGTCTCCCACTGCAAAACGTTGTATACGATGGTTGTTCGTATCAGCAACATAAATGGCGCCCGTCTTCTTCGATACATACACTCCGAACGGACTATCCAATTGATTTGCTGTCGAACCCGCTCCGTTTCCACCTGCGACTGTTATTCCTGCTGTCAGTGGTGCACTGCCGTTCTTTGGTAATTTCCATTTTTGTATACGATGATTGTTGCAGTCGGCAATGTAGAGATATGTGCCGTTAGCATCAAGATCTGTCTGCATGGGATAAGAAAGAGTCTGATTATCTGAACCATACGTTCCAGTCCCAGCAACAACTATCTCATAGGTGCCATTCCGTGACCAGCGAGTGACTTGACTATTGTAATAATCTGATACATAAATTTGACCCTGTGCGTCAAGCTGAACCCCACTGACATAATAGGGATTCCACAAAGTTGGATCGCTGACAATTGTTTTTCCGACAGTCACGTTTGCGACCCAGAGTTGTATACGGTTATTAATAAAATCTGCGACATAGACGCTTCTATTGAGTGGATCGACATAAATGTCTAAAGCTTGATCGAATTGCGTTGGACCGGTACCTGACGTTCCGTCACCAGCTACGGTATGGCCTATAAGAGAGCCGGGAAAAAAATGTTGCACACGATTGCCGTTCCTCTCTAGAACGTATAA